AAAAAACAGGAAGAGTGTAGAGTGAAAGTCACAGACAGGAGAGGGGTGACGAGGGCTGAGGAAATAAATTAATTTAACTCCTAAACAACACAAACTAAGCAGTGAGACTGCAGAGACATAATCTACACATCACAAATGCTTCATTATACTCTCTGAAATAGCCTTGAAAAGAAATATTTCTGAAATTACTCTGTTGCCCTTGTTGCACCATCGATATATGCATCACATGTTTCAAATAAATACTACAGTCCTCTTCTAAAAGATTTAGGTCAAGGATCTTAAAATCAATTTATCTGGGTGCCACTGGTGTTGTCATGCATTTCTTGGGAGCCACAGATCCATTTGACCAGAAGCACATTCGTAAACTCAAATCCTTACTCCCGTTCACACAGACACACACAAACTCCTACTCACCTTCACAAATACATACAACTCCAGCACACATAGAGCTACATACACTATATGGAAAAAATAATAATAATTTAAAAATAATAAGAACGCTAAAAGGCATTCAAAAGTGATAAAACAATGGGGGAAAAAAACATTTTTGAATACTGACAATTGTGTAAAAAATCACTATGGTATAGCAAATGTATATATGCAGCTGCACACTCAAGTGCCTTACACCCAGGGAGAAAGACCCTAGCACACACCATGATAGTAGAAATAGATGCAGTATAAAGAGGAGCACAAAATATATAATTCAAGATACTTATACAGATGACTCTCTTGTAGGGATAGCTGGTGATGATATGTGTACAAACGAGCCACTACTCATAAAAGTATTCCATTTTATCTGTTGTTTCAGGTTTTTATTTCAAAGTTTTGGTAATATGCAATATGTATATGTACTGTGACAATCAATTATTTTATGAAAGATTATTATTTGTATGTGAAATGTGTTCTTGCTATGGCCAATTCTATCTCTCTCAAATAAATTAGCTTTATGTTAATGTATATCCCATTTTCCTAAGAGGTAAAACAGTTAATGAACTTCTTAGAACTCAGTTTGTCAAAAGCACTATATGCACACGAACAATATGCCAATAAAAGACTTGAAACAGGAGAAATGCATAGTCGTGCGTAGTAACGGCACATGGTGGGCAGACATGGGGATTTAGAATTGTAGACGGAACAGAGGTCTATGGTAGAAAGCTGCCTGGAGATGGTGATACCAAGCCACTGAAGCAAGTTACGATCTTCTGACTAATCTGAGGTCTGAGCTTTTGCGAGTAGTGGCTCATTTGTCCGCATGTGCCCACCATCTATCCCCACAATAGAGTCATCTGTATAAGTATCTTGAATTGTACTTTTTATGCTCCACTTTATACTGCATTTATTACTACTATAAAGACAAAAATTGGGGGGCACCTGGCCATTACACCAACATGGAGTTTTATGATGTTGCATTCTAAATACATAGACGTTAATACGTAATTGGTCACCTCTGTAACAGCTCCCACTCTTCTGGGAAAGTTTTCCACAAGATTTTGGAATGTTTCTGTGGGAGAATTCATGCTGGAATAGAAAAGGGCCTTCCCTAAACTGTTACCACAAAGTTGGAAGCATAGCATTTTTTGAAATGTCTTATTATGCTGAAGCACTAAGATTTCCCTTCACTGGACATATGGGGCATGCCAACCCCTGAAAAACAGCCCAATAAAATGATCCTTCCTGCACAAAACTTTACAGTTGGCACAAAGCAGTCAGGCAAGTAACGTTCTCACACTCGCCCATCAGATTGCCAAATAGAGAAGCATCATTCGTCACTCCACAGAACACTTTTCCTCTGCTTTAGAGTTCAGTGGTGGCATGCTTTACACCACTCGATCAAACGCTTGACATTGTATTTGGTGATGGAGGCTTGCATGCAGCTGCTTAGCCATGGAAACCCATTCCATAAAGGTATCACCAAACAGATGTTGTGCTGAAATTAATGTCAGTGGATGTTTGGAACTCCTCAACTATGGAATCAGCTTTCTGGCTGAGTTGCTGCTGTTCCTAAACTCTTCCACTTTCCAATAATACCACTTAAAGTTGACCGTGGAATATCTAGCTGTGATGAAATTTTACGAACTGACTTATTGCATCCATTGACAGTACCACGCTTGAATTCACTGAGCTCTTCAGAGCCATTTTTTTCACAAATATTTGTAAATGCAGACTGTATGGCTAAGAATATGTTGTATACACCTGTGGCAATGGGTTTGATTGAAACACTTTTTTTCCAATAATTAAGACATTTTTTAAAAACGTTCCTCCATATAATGCATGCCCCTCCAACAGTATCGTGGCCATTCTATCAATGGATGCTGCTTCCCTAAGCTTTTTGCACCTGCCAACCTCATCACTGAAGTTCCATCATGCAAAAAGGGATATCAGCACAGAACATAACTACTGAGGCTGGCAACACACAGCTTCCTAAACAACAGAAAATGATGGTGTAATTGTGACCTTGATGTGTACCAGGCCACCAGCAAACTGGACATAAAGAGCTATACCCGGGACTCAGATATACCTCGCTATTCTGAAATGGGTGGCCACGGACCACATGAAACTATTAATTCGTCAGGAAATGGTACTTTGAGATCTAAGTAGTGAAAGTGCTAATGACCGGTAAATTAAGGCACCTACAAGCAACCTATTGTTCCCTTATAGAACACTAAGAGATGGGTAAAGATATAGGTAAGTGTACAGCCAAGACAAAATAACAGTTATTTTCTGTAAGTTTCAGTTTACACATGGATGTTGCATTATTGCTGTACCAGTAATTAGGCAACATAATTTTAAGCTGTTATTTATCTGGTATTAATGATAAATGCAGCATTTTATATTTTTACTCAAATATCCTCCTCAATATATCTTATGATTTACATAAATGTTCAGTTGACTAAATAGCAAATGGCATTAAAGTCCTTTCTCAAGCTATAAATGTCTAGCTGATGCGGTTGAGAATCAGATGGCCATCATTCTACTATGGCGACAAAAAAAAGACACAACAAGCATTTCGGATAAACTAAAAAATTACTCGAAAAAAAAATCTGGAAAAGAATTGCTGTTGATATATTTCCTTTTAAATTAGTAATAATTACATTTAATGAAAAGTCAAAAGAAAAACGCTACATTAACAAAAATCTGATTTTAAGTTTAGTATAACATTATTAATCATGGCTATTTTCTTGTAGCGTCATTAAACATTTTCAGTATAGGTGTGATATAAATAAAATATATCCATAAAATTGCTTATTAGTTATTACCCTTTAGCACTAGTATGTCAAAGTGGAGATGAAATCAATACTACAAAACATTTTTATATCTGAATTATAGTAATTACCAATACTTTATTTATTTACTATTAATGAATATTTAGCCTTTTCATAGTCTGACATCTTGTAAATGTCTCATTAATGGTTCTTTTTGAACATTGAAAATCGAAGGCATGTTTAAAGCACAAATTAACACCAACAGCAAAATATACAGGGGTTAAATAATATTGCACAGAAAAAAATAAAAACACAACACAATAAACTAACATTACAAAGAAGGTGGATGGGTTGGGGGATGGCAGATGATTGCAAAGAAAAGTGTGTTCCTTTATTAACCTCTTCATAAATTGTAATTGGTTTGAGCTGCAGCCCCCCAGCCAGCTGCTTGCTGAAGTATCTGGATGTGTTTATAATGAAGACTATGTGGCAGGTCCTGTGTATCAGCAGATGAGAAGCAGCCAGATTCTTTTTTTTTTTTGTCTTCTAGACAAGAGTTGTTCATCAACTGAAGAGCACATGGGGGACAAAGTATATAAGAGCACCCGGAGGTCCAAGAGAAAAATCTGCAATGAAAGACTTCAACAATGACTACATTTACCCCTTCTCTGCCAAGTCAGCCCACAATAGTTTGCTTTACTGCCTAATGAAGAAGTAAAAGCTAAAATTCTTTGACACATAGTAAAAGACAATATTTGGAAATAAAAAATGAAAGGCTTCAACACTGGCTACATTTACCCCTAATTTGTCAAGCCAGCCTTCCTCAGTTTGCGTGGCTGCCATAAAACCACCGAATAAAAAAAGTATAGCTATGATTTGTGAAGAGAGGTAAAAAAATAAAAATAAATTAGTTTACAAGTAAAAAATGTCTAAATAAAAAAAAAAAAATATGTAGTATAAATTGTATCAATTAAATACAGGGTGGATGTGTGAAAAGACAATACAGTTTTATTTGCCATGACTCTATAGTATATCCCATTGTACAGCTCTATTAAATTTTCTGGTGCTATATAAGTAATAAAATGAAAATAATAATATTAAGAAGTCTTTTTTTATTAAATAACATTTGTAATGATATTATTAGTATTATCATTGATTTTTAAATGTATGTTTTTCAAGTTAAATTTTATTATTAGTATTTTTTTAATATGGATTTAGTCATTTAGATGCATTATTCCAAATGTGCTACATGGAGTCCATTAATGAGTCAAGACTCATGATAGTATACAAAATGGTATTGTTAAACCTGCTTTACTTGAATGCATATGGGACATGCAGTAGTGAAGTGTAGAGTCAACTATTGAAGGGTCTTTCTATGTTTTAAAGTGTTCCAATTATTTAGGACAACATGGTCAATTAGTATGGGGATTACTTCTTCATATGACATATGACAGTCACCTGGTGTATTAGAAAATCTTGCAGTGTCCTCACCAGATCCATGAAACTATTACTAAGACAAAACTGAGGATAAATAAGGAGACTTTGCTTATTATGCTGGTATTAATTTTCCCCTTAGGAGCTAATTAAATTCCTTCTTGCAGCCAGAGCCTTGAAATACAGCCATGGCGTATTAACTCTGCAGTATCTACTCTTAAACTGCAGTTCATCTGGAGAAAAAAAAATAGGATTTTAAGATATGACCACACTATATATTGTTGCATTGCTTAGAAATCTGACTGTCGAATAACGGATATAATAAGAAAATAGTCAGATTTGTTACATTTTTATTTCACTGTTAATTGAAGGTACAATCAAAATTGCTTCCATGATCATTTTCATAAAAGTATTGATCTCTGATTACTGCAAAATTATAGCATTTACACTTTGGAAAGAACATTAAAAATAATATCAGCAAACCAATTAAATTAGTATGGAATTATAAATAGTGACATAAGCATCTGTATATAACATCTGCATAAAAAAAACTCTTCACACATCAGCATGTTAAATTTCACACATGTTCAATCTGTGTGTATAGTGTATGAATATATATAATAATCATTTAGATTTTATTTAGCACTTTTCTTCCCCAGGACACTCAAAGCTCTTTAGCATATGTTCCCCGATTTCAACCGAATTGCCAGTTGATTCATAGATGTGTGCTATCCATTCTATGGGCCTCAAAAAGAAGGACAGTGGAGTTCAGTCTGCCAGGGAGAAAACCTGCAATATCGAAGTTTCAACAGATTCTACTCCTGGTCCTTCAAACAACTGAGATCTCTTGTTTTATGCATAAAACACGTGTGTTTACTATATGTTTATTCCAAATCACAGATACATTTCCATAAAATGTAAATTGTGCATTTGTGGTGAGAAAGACTTGGACTTAAATTCTAACATTAACAAAAATACAAAATAATTACGAAAAAATCCAAAATAATCTATTTTGAAAACAAATAAATTATATTTTACATAATCATCTTTAAAATAGTCACAGGATTGTTCATTTGGCATATGACTAGGAAAAACAGGATAATTTGAATTACAAATTCTTGTTCTATTTAACAAAAATAAAAGCCTTGGAGATTATTGGCTTGAAGCAAAATGACATTCCAGCATTCACACCTATAGTACAGAGTATAATATTTAAAGTTTGCTATACTTGATCGCATGGAATTGGGCCACATTTAACAAGAGCAAAACAAGCATCAGACAATTAGCAGCCTTTATTTCCACAACCACTCAGAATTACAGAGAAATATTGATATACACCATTCCATCACTGTGCCTTTAGATAGTCCTGGTGTTAACTGGAAATTAAGCAGCCAATATACGTGATAGTTGTATGGCATCTTCTATTGGTTTTCCAAGTGAAGGAAATGTTTTATTTTTTAAAAAAATTTAATTTTTTTATTTATTTTTTTTTAAAGAAAATGGACATGTTCGTTACAATGAAAAAAATAAATAAATAAACCTGACGTGATATATAGACAAAACATGGCTGTTTCTAATGAAATGAGAAGGGATCTCACCAGTTCCTTTTCCTTTACAAATAGTTTCCAAAGCAGGTGCACACACAATTAGATATGCAGGGTCTTGTATATTTCAAAATACAAAGTGTCCTGTTGAGGTCTCTAAGTGCAGCTATTTGGGGTTAATAGCAATTCATTTCCATTCCATGTCACTCGCTGCCGAAGGACAAAGTTATTTTATAGAGGAAACACCAGAAATCCAGAAAATGTTGAAAACTTCCATCCACCCATCAGGTTTCCCTTCTCCAGTTTAAGGTAGGCTCTGTCCCCTTTCTCCATCTGAATAAGAACTCCATTGCTTGCGGCTTCTCTTGTGACATCTTGGTCACCAGCAAATGCTGAAATAACTGGCCATCCATTCAACATCAAGCTCACCTGGAGAAAAACAGCCATGTGAATTTTGCACGTAATCAACATTGCATATTAAATTTTTTCCTGAAAAAAAAAAAAACATATGAAAGGCAGATCCAGAAAACAACAGAAAATGGAGAAATGGACATACCAGCAGACAGATTAAGAGATACTAAGCTGCATGGTATGTGTATGTATATATATGTATTTATCTGTGTAGGATAGGTATAAAAGATAATAAGAAAGGCATTATAGAAAGCAACGTCTAAATTGAGAGTGGTTAAAACTAACAGGAAGGTCTTATAGAAACGATTTTTCACAATACTCTCACAAAAAGATAGTAAGATAGGATTGCACATTTGTTTCATATATAAGCTCATTTGAGCAGATCCTTTTTCCCCTCTTGTCACTGTCAATATTCTGTATGTCAATTATTTGTAGTCAAATATCCTCATTCGATAATTATAAAGTGCTTTGAATATGTTAGTTGTATATAAATGCTAATAATGCACAATCATTTCTAGTTTACTTGCTTTTATCTATGCCTGCTAACAGACAGCCTTAGATAACAAACATTATATATAGATAACACCATTTGTGAAGATGTTATCTCTGTGTACTTATTTTAATTAATAATTAGGCAAGAATTGGAAGAGGATTGCAAACTTCAGGCCAAACAGCCCGATTATTAAAAATCTACAACTGGGGTTTTTTTCTGTTTATTTTTACAGTGCTGCTTTTTTTTTTAATATTTCACAAATCACGTTTCAGTGGAAAACAAAAATTAGAAATCCCAGCATCACAACTTTGTAAAACCACTGATCATAGGGATGTTAGCGAAGGCTTTTTATTCCTTGTATGTATTATTAGAACCAATCAACTATCCATTTGTGTTGACATGCAAGCATCGTACTGGAATTTTGCTAAGAACCTATCTAATTTAAAAAAAAGGCACAAGTTACTCACACATTGTAAGGGAAGTAATTACTTATTCTTACGATAATTATACAGAGCAGTTAAAGCACATTTTTGTTTTCTAGAAACTAAATTCAAAGTTCGGTATGAAAAAATATAAGGGACCATGGTTTTCAAGCCTCTTCACAAGAGGGTTGCAAAATAATCTTACTTTCTATATTTAGAACTCCTTCATTGCCAAAATATCCTCAGTTCAGCATGTTGCAAAAAGGTGTATGTTATTTTGGTATTCAAGCAGTTAGGTGTCCTGGGACTATTCAATAAATGGGGAGATTTCACAAGCTAAAAACTGACATTAAAATGTCAGGCTAGCATAACTGCACTTAAAAGAAAATCGCTAATTCAGCACACCTGGACATTTTTTTTATTTTATTTTTTTACAGTTCTGCAAGTTTGGCCTTGATGATACATATTGCAAAATATCCTTTTTTCATGTACACAATTCTCAGACGACTTTTATTGTTTGTATGTTTTAAGTCGGCACATTATGTCACACAGGGTTTTTCACTAATGTATAAATTCAAAGTGAATTTCAGATTTAAGGTCAAATTATCTGAAAATGAAAAAAAATAGGTGTGCTTTCAGTTTTGCTACTATAGCCTTAACTGTGGGCTTCATTTTGAATACTTACTTTAGGAAATAATGCTATTATAGCTGTACTTCTGATGAATATACAATAAGCTTTGAAATAAAGAAAATTAAGAAGAGATAGTAGAGACCAATATTAGATCATATATTGTGAAATGGTTCATGTGAGCACCATCATTTGGGCAGTTTGCAAGCAGGTAAAATGTTGATAATATATATATATATATATATATATATATATATATATATATATATATATATATATATATATATATATATATATATATATATATATATATAAAATGTTATAATGTTGTTGTGTTTTTTTTGTTTGCTTAATTAACAATTTTGCTGGAAAAAAAAATCACAACAAGTAATTGGTTAACCCAAACTCAAGATCTGCAAGTGTTTTGGAATCGTGGTAGGTAAAGGTTATGTGGGAGTGGGTCATCTGCGGAGTCTAACAATGCTACTTGAGTCATTACGCCCCCACTACTTTTCACACTACCAATACAGCTACATAATTCAGGCCATGTCTTGTGGTATGAGTCATAAAAAACAAAATGGCACCCTCTTGCAAACGACCCTGAATTTTCTACGTAGCACAAAACATATGAAACAATATGGCTCCTCATCTGTTACATTTTTCTATGTAAATGTAACTTTACTGACAATTTGTCAACTGGCTGGAGCTGTGTACGTCAACTTAACAATAGGTTACAGAGAATTGTGATTACATTTAATTCATTGTTTAGTGAAACAATCAATCAGCTTTGGTAAATATAAACCTAAAATAAAGGTTATTTTATGTATACGTTTATGTCAAGAGAATATTTAAAATAGTAAAATTTGTCAACCAATCAATCAAGCTTTAAAGTATACTTTAAAAACAAGTATTATCAGCAAATGATATATAATAATAAAAAAATACATGCAAGAATGTTAATTGGTTGTTTGGTAAGTAGCATTGTAAACAACAGGTTTTTTTTTTTTCAAAAAGCACACCAACATGTTTTAACTTTATTATTTTAAAACAAATATACAAAGATGTGTGATACATAAATTGCACGGTTATGTATGAAGGATAGTAGAAGTAATAAGACATTAAATTGGAGGGAAAAAAATGCACTTGCTTTTTTACAAAAGTCACAGTATACAACGTAACTGTCAATGTGATGCAAACACAACGTAGATGATGTGAAGATGATGATCCAACAAAGCAATAAAATATTTCGCTCATGATTCATGATTTTCACACCAGGTTGCTGAATATAGTGTTAGTGATATGATGAGGCCTATTTACTAAAAAGCAGTTTGTGGTGACATTAGAAAAATTTTATACAAATGAATTATTTAAAAATGATAAGATTTGACCTATTCTGACCGAGGTTTTACAGAGCAAATCCTCATGTAACCATAACTTGTTGTTTAGTGAACAGACCCAATAATTGTTAATAACCCTTTAGGAGTCAGGGGCGGTCCAATCCCCAAATGGATTAAACTGATTGCTATATAAATTATAATTTGATATTTGAACACTGGAATGAACATGGATGGCTCTGTTCATTCTATAGCACTATGCATATTTCATAACATGTAAGCTCTTCAATGTGAAGAAAGGTTTGAACATTTGTGATTGAACGTTTGTTGTGTATGTTGCATTTGAAACAAATCTAAATATTTTAGTTGGCTCATATAGTGTAAATAGGAAAACAACATAATGTAAAATATATAAGGATAGGGAAATCTTTCACAATCTAACCTGAATGGTTTGCCGGTTATACACTTTCACCACATGGAAATTAAAACTGTAAATCCCTTTTCTTGGTGCACTAAATGTGCTCCGTTCTAAGTCGAAATTGCCTCCAACATTGACCAAGATCTAAATTAAAAAAAGAAAAAACAAAATTCTTTTATTCATTATGAAGCAGAATTGCAGTTTAGCATGAAGTACAAACTGATTTGTTAAACGTTTGGGTGCGATAGAGGATTCATTTTTAAAGTTTTTCAACAAAATTACTCAAATTACACAAAAACTAACTGAAAGAGTTTCACACAAACCTGTATTTCATTGAACTGACATAACATTTTGTAAATCTCAAACGCTATCTGGAAATATATTTAAATACATTCAAGTACAGTTAAAGAGTTCTACAATTAATAGCTTAATATATTTTTTTGTATTCCTGTAGATAAAACAGGTCTTTCTTTTTGAACTTGTAAACTACTAACAACGTGATTAGTTTCGCTTTATTTACCATAAAAATAGTATTTTATGATATATTAATTTTATGATCTGCTTGTGTGTTTTTTTTTTAAGTTATCTCAAGGGTTAGTGTGTTTTAACAAAAATAAAAATAAATAAATAAATAAAATGTTATGCTCTACTTTGCAATAAGAGTTCACCTAATGATTCTGAATACTTCATTATCCTGTCCATTTATTTTTCAACACAGAAGCATGAATATTAATTCTTGGAGAGAACTAGGCAGAGTATTGTGTGGGTTATCTAGGATCAACCATGGCATAGGGAAATCACTTAATAAATGTGGTTTTGCATGGCAGTTTTTGATTTATATAGTTTACTACATCTAAAATTCCAGAGATAGAATTGCTATGCATATATTTTATCACCATTAACTTTGTCAGCAACAGTTCAATGTTATAATAATAATAGAATGATCAATGATCACTATAATATATTGAATCTTTAGATATCCCCTTAAGAAACAAGGATGATTTTAAAAGATGCAAAAAGATTTTTTCACAATCTTTTTCAGTCCATATTATTATTATTATTATTGCCATTTTATAGCGCCAACAGATTCCGTAGCACTTTACAATATTATTCACAATACAAAAACAGCATGTTTCCAAATTGTACATACTGTTAGTCACCCAGTTGATTATATGTATAGCCTATTGGCCAAAATGATCAAGATTGCCAATAAAATTTACAAAGATATAGGAATAAATGCATACACTAATAAACCACCTGTATCTCTAAATTCTTTTTAGTGCTTCAGTATCAGTGCTGTTTGTGATACAAAACAAATATATTTGTGAAGTCTTGGTTGAATTATAAATTTGGCAGGTATGTGGTTTTTGAGAGTACTTAATAATAATTCACAAATATATAGTAATAAATGCATACACTAATAAACCATCTGTATCTCTAAATTCTTGTTTTTAGTGCCTCAATTAAATGAAAACAAACCCTTAATCTTGTCTGTGGCATTCACGAACACACATTCCACTGTAGAAGAGCATAGACATTTGAATTTCATTTGTGGGCAATCAGTGATTGGCAAAAAAAAATTAAGTGATATCATGGGTCATGTGCGTAACCAGCAATTGTGTTATAAAGTGCTAAATTTGAGCAGTTATCATTGAAACCAATAACATATCCCTGATGACTGATTTTACCACTGTCCCACAATTGCCCTCTATATCACGTCCATATTGATAGACACACACACACACACACACACACACATTTCTGGTCCCAAACCAACTGCGAAATATTCATATATGTTCGTGTTTGCCCCAAAACATAATTCAAATATCAACATTTTTTACCACCTCATATAAAAACGATTTCCATGAAAATTAGAATAATTTATTCTGCTTATGTTTGCACATTATATTGAGAATGCAAAATTACAGAGGAGGATTTAGGCCTCAATTAAATATTTTTGGATGAGTTTTTCAAATGAGTTGATATTTTTGGATTAACTTTTAAAATAATTTAATATTTAAAAAAAATAATTTAGTATTTAGAGTATATATATATATATATATATATATATATATATATATATATATATATATATATATATATATATATATATATATACACACACACACATACATACACGTTTATTAATGTTTTGTTATTTTTAAACAAAATTTAAAAGTGTATCCAAACATATGAAGCCATTTAAAAAAAAGGTTATCACAAAACATTAAGTGGTGCCTGATTTATAACTGTTTGTCCTTGGCAGGATGACAAAATCATCAAAAATCATTGTCAATATTTTTTACTCTTCACAATGAATGGCTGAGATGAGTTTGAATTCTCACATCTTTTCTGGAGAATCTACAGTAATTCTATATTGCCTTGATCAGTGGTGCATATCTAAAACAAAAACTGATTTTGAAGTTCAAAAGACAAACTAGCATGTAATAACAATGACCAATCCTTGACCAGTATTATTCTATTATGGACAAATCAGAAAAGATGAGAGTGTCTAAATTGTACCATGTGGTAACACAACCATGGATTTATGTCTACACAACTTATTTCTAGAACAATTTTTGCTTCGGCTTCGCCAACTCTAATATGATGCTTTGCCAGTCATTCCTACACTCACTGCCCACATATCTACACACATTCACCTCTCAAACCAGCATTCACACCTTACACTCTTCAGTGGGAGCCAAGGAACAACTTGTGCTATTATGGGGCAAATCACTAAATGTTGAGATACACTGTATCGGTTTCCATAGTGATTGATCCTTATGTTTCAGAATAGCAGTTGTTTTGCCTTTTTAACTCCCCCCAGGTCTCACTGCAGCAGCTCCCATGGTCCACTGGTAACTTACATGATCAAAGTAGATGATCATAGTTCTATTGCTCATCTCAGAAGGTTCGTGGTTGGTGTTCCTGATGGCTGAGAAAGCCGCCTTGGCACTGCCGGAGCGCACGGAGATTCCCAGCGCGGTACCCGTGGGGTCAGACGTAGGGTTGGAGTCACAAACCACCAGGCACTTGCCCTCCAGCAGGATGGGCTCGGTCTCGTTCTGACCACTGGCCAGCCCTGCCAGCCATGACACCCCCATCAAAAGCTCCAAGACCCACATCTCTAGAACCTGTGTGGGTACTGACAGAGAGCTGGGGGGACTTAGAGATCCAGAAGCAATCTAGAAGCACCTCAATGTCCTGCTATGCTAGTACCCTTCTCCCAGGTCTGCTGATTGGCAGAAAATAAAAATGACAAGAATAAGACCAACAATCTCTTCTGCCCAGGTGGCTCTGTTTCCAGAGATATCTGCTGCTTGGAGAGGACTTTACCCACTTCACATAGCTTTCCACCTGCTCCCTTCAATGTACAGGCTCCGGAATGGAGCTCCAGCTTCCTGGCCTGACTTCAATTCTCCTCTGGAGTCTTCCTCAGTGTCGCAGTCCTGCCAGGTCTAGCTGCATCCCGCGCTACGCAGCTGGACAGCCAGAAGAACAGGATACATAGCGAGAGCAAGGTGCTGTCTCCCTGCCGACGTTCCCAGGACTAGGAACACAGCGCAAAGACGCGCAAGAGAGAACGAAGAGAGTGGGGGCTCTTTTAACACACGCCCACTTCGAACGATGCCAATCCGCATGCACAGAGCGCAGTCCGTCAGCCAATCGGAAGCCGTTCTGCCACGTTCCATGTGACAGCTCTGCTATTGTTACAGAAGTCAAAGGCAGGTGGCGGCGAGTTACATTGTATCACTCTTACCTAGTATTGAGCTTGGCATCTGGACCGGTGCTGCTTTCCCTCTACCAGTATCCTTCCTATATCAATGGTTTGTCAGGTAAGTAAGGGGTATGGAGAGTCAATGCAGCCTCTCACTACACGTTATGAAAGTAAGTACACCATATTAGGATTGGTTTTGTTTGTGTGTAGTTTGTTTTGTTAGCAGATACATGAGTTGTACAGAACCTCAGCTACTTTGGTTTTACCCACATCAGCACAGATGAGGTGCCAGGACTATGCTGCAATAATTGAATTGTGCTTGATTCCTTACGCTGAAGATGGTAATAAAGACTGGTTAAAGGGCTGTTTTGTTTAGAGTTTTTTTTTTTTTTTGGGGGGGTTGGGGGGAGGGAGGGAAAGGCATTTCAGAAATGGGTTTGATGGCCTTTCAGAAGTTTTATAGCTACTTGTGCTTATATATTTTACAAAATATATAAAAGCTTTCTAAAGCTTTATAGCTACTTGTGCTTTTATATATATGTTATATCTAGTATATATGATATATGATAGGCTACTGTATGTTTGCTGGTATGAGCATTTCTTAGATCTGTGTCTGTATCTGCATTATACATTTTGTTAAAAAAACAAACAAACTAAACAGGTTGTTTCCAGTGTGGAGTGTCCCTTTAACAATTGAGGTTGTACAGTAGTTAGGACAGACACTCGTTGTACTATGTAATTGAAACAGGATCCTTCTAGAATATTAGTAAAAAGTGACATTTACTAACTTGACTGCAAACTTGTAGCAATTTGCAACATCACTTAATTTGAGTGATCTAAGTAAACAGTAGGTGAGATGCAATGGTTTTCTACATACTCCTGATATTACTTTAACATTTAGTTAGTATAGACATAGTTATGTAACATAGTATTTTACAATAATAAATATTGACCCACTTAAACCACCTAGCAAGTAGCCTTAACATGCACTATAGGCACCCAGGCCACTTCACCTTATTGAACCCTGCAATGCAAACACTGAACTTTTAATCTGCCATGTTTGCATTGCAGTGTTAAGACTGCCTCATCTCCCAGACAGCCACTAGAGGTGCTTCCTGCCGTTTCATGGAGTTTGACTCAGTGAAATGACGCTGGACGTCCTCACGCTTGCATGAAAAAAAGTCTGTTGAAAACCCCCAATAAGGCAATGCTTTCCAATAGGAAAGACCTCCCTATCAGCTGACATCAACAGAGGAGGAACCCGTTCCAGCGCAATGTAACATTGACGCTGGAATCAGGTTTTCATTAAAAGGATTTTTTTATTCCTTGACATGGCTGGGTAGGATGGGGAGGAGGGGCAGTGGCAGAGGCACACTATAATGTTAGGGATACAGCTTTGTATTCCTTTCATTATAGTGTTCCTTTAGCAGAAGTGGTAGCAGAGATTTGCACAAGGGTGTGCTGGGTACTTCTTTTTAAAAGGGCCACATCGTTCTTCATGTCCCCTGTTAGATCTGGCCGGGCGTGTGTATGTGCGTTTGGGTTAGCTTGTTATGTTTTTGGCCATTACAAGCTTAGATGGTTTCATTTTTTTTATATTTTTTTTTACCAGGGTGTACACCCTAACATAATCTGTTGCACGTGGATATGTGTGTTTTATGAGCTTTTTAACAGTTTTTAATAGTTATTTCCTGTAGAAGGGCTTAGTATGGAAACCAATATCGTTTAGAATAGGGGTTGCCAAAAGATAGATCTTCACATCCACCTCAGGCTGTTGCATATCTACAACTTCTTTGATGCCTTAAGAGCTTCAGCATTCTGCAAAGCATCAAGGGAGTTGTAGCTTTAAAACAGCTGGGGTGTACAGTTGGATAATTTTTGCTCAAGATCAATTAAATCTGATGTTCGCAGGTAGAAAAATGACAAAACGAACAGAAAAGTTGTTTAACTATTATATTCATTGTTTATATAAAAGGCAAGGGAGTGCCCATGAGCAATATCATTTTTTTATGTCTTAGGGCATTGCTTGGTAATCATTAACCATATAACTGTTTTAGAAGTCGGCATCACACTGCAGATTAATACCTTTTAGGCTGGGAATGGGTTAAGCTGTGCTTTGGATGGAATAAAACTTCACAGGATCTGTTTTATTTTTGCAATAACTCTTTGGTTTATGTGACAGATACCCGGCTTTTCAAGGACATAAACAACTGGCCTGGGGCTAAATACTTTTATAGTGGCAGTTGTTTTTTTATCATCAGCTGAAAGATTTCCAATATCCACTGAACTGCCTCCATTAAAAGTAACATCACATACAAGAGCTGCAGATTATTTGTAACTCTCTCATAGTGGTAACTTTACTGAGCAAAGACGGATGAAAATGAAATACAGCTATGGGATTTATTTTTCCTGAATCACTCCCAGCTCTCCCACTCCTAGTTCTATCTTACAAGTCATTGTTGGACAATTTGGCAAGTACAACCAAAATGCAGTTCGTCTTTGGTTAAATGTCTACAGATTTTTTTTTCCAGCTAATTAACATTATTTTTTTCTTTTTTATAAGTCATAAAAGGAACATAAAGTGTCATGGACAATTTAAGTGTCTGGTCAGGTGACCCAAGAAGAGCTAAACCTTTGCAACCAAATCAGGAGAAGCTAAGATCATGGAGTGTTTTAGGGTCTGTTGCACTGGTTTTTAGGCTAAAGCAAGTTTGAAATGGACTGAAGTATTAGGGCATGTTGACCTAGTTTGAATATTGAGAGTTGCAGTCATTTTGCAGTAGTCATTATTTTACCTAGACTGTCCTGGCACTACCCCTTGTCTAATATCAGACTGTCTAGAAATTATTTGATAAAAAAACAGGGCTCTTTTTGGTGACCGGGGACTACTGCAACCACTTCCACACTATCACTCCACTTCAACTTCCACATTATTACTGTCAATTATGTCGAACTTGTACTACATTGATTGGCTGAGAGTGATTGGGGCATCAGCCCAGTGCTCTCAGGTAATCAGTGGGATCCAAGTTGGATGATATTGGCATTGATAATGTGGAAGTGTTAAAGAAACCCTAGAGGCACCATGCCAACTTCATTGGAATGAAGTTGGCATAGTGTGAGGAAGTCCCGCACATCAGCTTACCTCAAAGCATAACAAACGGTTTAACCCGAAGACTTCATGCCCATTGGCTCTGATGTTCCAGTTCAATTTCTGCCCGAGGACTGAGCATCGCAGATATGCGGAGATCATCACCCGAGCCTATCAGTAGCTCTGTTTTGTTTACAAATTATTCAATCCCTTGAGGTCAGCTGGCGCCACGGATCTCCTATAATAATTTAAATTAAATTAAATAGTTATGGGGGATATAATAAATGGGGACCCTCTTACATTAAGATATAATCCAGTTTTATAACTCTAACACAAAACATGGTCCCTCAATGCCTATCTGGACTGCTTTCCCTCTCAGCTGCTGGACTAATTCACAGTATACAAATTGGGCACCAGTGATATGGAGAGAGTGTCAGCCAATGCTCCACCCTATCATTGTTCACCTAACAGTAAATAATAACCGCACATTGTGTACTTGCAATGGGTTGTAGGTGATAGGCTGATAGTGTCATCTGATGCTCTCACCTGATCAACAGCACTCAAGACAACAAATCCTGTACGTTGGTCCAGCAGAGGAAAGGCGAGGCCATGCAGATGAGCGTTTGGGTAACCAACACGGAGTTAAACTGTTTGAAAACATATTAACACCTTCAAGGGACTCTATAGTCACCAGAACAACTACAGCTTAATGTAATTGTTCTGGTTTGTATAGACTGTCCCTGCAGGCTTTTTAATGTAAACACTGTTTGCTGCCTAATAAAACCTATAGTAACAATCACTCAGACTGCCACTAGAGGTGCCTCTCGCCGAGCACTCCCCATAGAGATGCACTGACTCAATGCACGATAGTCTCCGCATTGGATTGGCTGAGATAATCAAATTTGATGCCAAGGGGTGGTGCTAGCTGTGAACAGACCAAAGTGGTGCTGGAAAAAGGTGAGTAAAATCATCTTTTAAGCGTCTGACGGGAGGGGGGTCAATCACCTGAACGGCTATTTAGACCTATAGTGTCTGGAATACATGTTTGTATTCTTGATACTATAGTGGTCCTTTAAAGTAAGACAGTGCCCAGCGGCTTTTTCACACAAAAGGTGTGTTTGAATGGAGAGGTACATGTATGTGTAGTCTGATAATGTAAGGGTGAATGTGTGTGGAATAACTGTGTATCAATGCAGTAGTGTATTTGTGTGCAAAGTTTATTCAGCAGTAAAATATAATAAAACACATCAGCTAGATACGAATAATCAAAATGCAGGGGCCAACGAATGTAACAAAATAACAGTAAGAATACAAATGTTCCTATTTGCTTGTTGCACATAACATAGCACAAAAGAAGATACCATGTAAAATACAAATAAAACAGAAGCACGACATGAAGAATTCAGGCGACCAGGATGCATCCAGGAGTCTAAAATAAATGTAGCTAATAAAGCCAGATTTCCTCAAATAAAAAGGATACGTTATCTTTAAATTAAAGAATAAAATATTCTAATAAATTAAAGGACATTTACGTGTAGTTACAGTCATTCTGTAAGATTACAGTTAATGGCTATTGTCTGGAAATGTTAATTAAGTGGATAACTATATAACATATTTAATATAAAAAAGTTTGGGAGAAACAGACGATATGGAAAAAAGAGGGGGGTCAAATGCAAAGAAAGAATGGAAACAGAGAGTAGGGTTTTGGTCTAGTAGGAAAAAAGAGGATCCAAGAATTGTAGTCCCAAATTTTCTTTAAATGTTTGGAGGCATTGTAAATTAATCAGAGTGCTTGTCTACCTT